TGAACAGCATGTCATCATGTTGCATGACGACATGAACAGCATGTCATCATGTCGTCATGCGACATGAACAGCATGTCATGTTGCATGACAACATGAACAGCATGTCATCATGTCATATGACAACATGAACAGCATGTCATCATGTTGCATGACAACATGAACAGCATGTCATCATGTTGCATGACAACATGAACAGCATGTCATCATGTCGTCATGCGACATGAACAGCATGTCATGTTGCATGACAACATGAACAGCATGTCATCATGTCATATGACAACATGAACAGCATGTCATCATGTTGCATGACGACATGAACAGCATGTCATGTCGTCATGTTGCATGACAACATGAACAGCATGTCATCATGTTGCATGACGACAGCATGTCATCCCTCCCAACTGATTCTAATTTTACTTTCTTAATAACAAGCTGTACAAAATATTATTTTTAACTAGTCTTTTCATTCTTCACCCCCCCCTCCCCCCCACACACACTCTCAGCTTTTGAGGGGTTTCAGTCCAACTCAGCAGAACAGCATTAGCCACCAATTAGCTAGTTAGCATTCAGCTGTGGAGATGTAAAGGAAAGCTAAAGTGGTTTTGAAGTGTTAAAACTGCAGCTTTCAGACCTGAAGTTTATCTTGAATTTGTTCAAATAATTTGTCCCGAAGTGAGAGAGAGAATGCTTGCTTGTCTCTGTGTCTCCCTGTGATGGACGGGAGACCTGTCCAGGTGTCCCTGTGATGGACGGGAGACCTGTCCAAGGTGTCCCTGTGATGGATGGGAGACCTGTCCAAGGTGTCCCTGTGATGGACGAGAGACCTGTCCAGGGTGTCCCTGTGATGGACGGGAGACCTGTCCAGGGTGTCCCTGTGATGGACTGGAGACCTGTCCAGGGTGTCTCTGTGATGGACTGGAGACCTGTCCAGGGTGTCCTCCACCTCTCGCACAGTGACTGCTGGATCTGGGAACCAGTGACACAAAAAGAAAGAAACAAGAAAAGATGATTGATGGATGGATGGATGGTTAGATGGTTGGATGGACAGATGACTGATGAATTAATGTATGAAAGGATGGATGGATAAATAGGGTTTGGATGGACAGATGGATGGATGGACAGATGATGGACAGTTGTACAGATGGATGGATGGTTGCATGG